CAGTTAAATTGGTTAAGCTATATAAAGTGCCATCTAAATCTATTTTATAATTTTTCTTTGGAGTGACACCATTGAAAAGAGGCCTTGAAAAACAGTGTTTCATTGCATTGTTTTTCTTCCTATCTACCTGGATAAAATATTTACCAGCCTGGAAAAATCTGGCCAAAAATATGGCTCTGATAATGCAGGGTCTTTTAATTCGATTTTTAAAGGACTGTAAATTAAGGTGTCTTATGAATACTCTGAAAAGCAGCTTTTTTCTTTGTTCCCTCACCTGTTGCCACCCTCAGATGAAGGGGAACTGAAGCTTAGTTCTGCGTCTTTAGCTGCTCAGCACCATCTGCTCATCAATTACACTTCCAACCAGTGGTATCACAGTGATGTGTGTCAGTTGAGGATTATTATTCTTTTCATTCTTTTTCATGTTTATTTTTATTCTGTTGAACATTTAAAAATATATTGGTTTTTATACTGTTTCAAAAGAGGGAATTGCTATCACTACATTTTAAATGTCTTGTGTACAGCTTCATCTTGCCTTCTGCCATGGTGCCCGAAACAAAGCTGATTCTGAATAAACAAAGAAAGTTGATGTCTTGATATCTTGTTTCTGAGTATGTCTGGTCACCTCTTAATTGAGTACCTTATTTCTGCTGCTGCCATATTATAACTACTCTACAAATGTTCCTAAAATAAAGAAAAATAGAAAAATTAACTCATTTTTAGGTGCTTTCTGTATCAACAGGACCTAAAATAATATACAGAAATAAATATCTTGATTCTGAGGTGCCTTGTTATTAATGATAAATAAATTAGATCTCAATTTTTTTTTTTTTTTTTTTTTTTTGGTCGGGGGAGGCGGAGTCTCACTCTGTTACCCAGGCTGGAATGCAATGGTGCAACTTCAGCTCACTGCAACCTCTGCCTTCCAGGTTCAAGTGATTCTCCTGCCTCAGCTTCCTGAATAGCTGGGATTGCAGGCGCTTGCCACCATACCTGGCTAATTTTTGTGTTTTTAGTACAGACAGTGTTTCACCATGTTGGCCAGGTTGGTCTCAAACTCCTGACTTCAGGTGATCCACCTGCCTTAGCCTCCCAAAATGCTGGGATTACTGTCATTAGCCACTGTGCCTGGCCCCAACATTTTTTTTCTTTACTTTTTTTTTTTAATTTTTGAGATGAGGCCTCACTGTCACTCAGGCTGGAGAGCAGTGGCACAGTCTTCGCTCACTGCAGCCTCTACCTCCCAAGTTCAAGCAATTCTCCTACCTCAGCCTCCCAAGTAGCTGGGATTACAGGCACCCACCACCACACCCAGCTAATTTTTTGTGGTTTTAGTAGAGATGGGGTTTCACCATGTTGCCCAGGCTAGTCTTAAATTCCTGACCTCAGGTGATCCACCCACCTTGGCCTCCCAGAGTGCTGGGATTATAGGCATGAGGCACTGCACCCGGCCGACCCCAACTTTTTAATCTTACAAATGCCCTTCTGTAGGTTGAAGAAAATATTTACCCAAATTTCAATTGTTTGGTTTCTTAATATAGATTTTATTTTCATTACGTACATGATTTATCCAGCTTTGAAACTGTCACTAGTGCTAAGGATCCAAGGTCAAGAGCTTTGTGTATCAAGGAAGGTGCAGGAAAACTGGGAAAGACATTTTTCCGAACATCTGACTAAGCTGGTAGCCCTGTGGAGAGAGGAAGTGGATAAGGATGGTATCCAGAATTCTGAAAGGGGTAAAAGTGGTGTGGAGAGCAGGAATACTAAAAGTCACTGAAGCTTGAGTTTAGAGATCAGCTTGGGATGATATTTAGAAGTTTATCCTTACTTTGACTGTCAGGGATGTCAACATCCTTCCGTGTTTAAGGAAGTCTCCATCCGTGTGTTTTAAGGGATCCCCTTAGAAAAGCTCAAAATTTGCTTTTACAGCCTTTCTTAGAGCTAGGGTGTGGATACCTCATCTAGAAGCCACCAATCAAGTGAACCTGTCCCAGACATTGAAGCAGAAACTACAGTAGTAAAGTGGGACCAAGTTGAACCCGTCCTCATGGGTGGAGGGAGTGGGGTGGACATGTTGGCAGCTACCTTTAGGGCCCACAGGCAGCACTTCTGGAAGTAGTTCCTGATGTCTATTATGTGGATGATGGCGTGAAAGCCACTGTCTCTGTGCTTAGTTGTGCTGGAAATGGTATCTTCAGTAGATTTGTTCTGCCTTATGATTTTGGTAGGTGATTATGCTAGGTATCTATTGCTGCATAGCAAATTACCCCAAAATTTGGCAGCTTAAAACAAACATTGAATATCCCATAGTCCCTGTAGGTCAGGAACCTGGGTATGGTTTAGCTGGGACCTCTGCTCACCATCTCTCTTGAGGCTGTAATTAAGGTGTCCTCTGGGGCTGTAGTCATCTCACGGTTGGACTCAGGGAAGCTTTGCTTCCAAGATTACTTTAGTGCTTGTTATTGGCACATTTCAGTTTCTTTCAGGCTGTTGGCTACTAAGGCCTCTCTCACTTCCCTGCCATGTGGGTCTCTCATAGCACAGCTTAACACCAGTGTGTGTGTGTGTGTGTGTGTGTGTGTGTGAGAGAGAGAGAGAGAGGCACAGAGAGACAGAGAGAGAGAGAGAGAGAGAAAGAGATCGCTCCAGGAAAGGAGAGAAGTTTGGGGAAACAAGCAAGCAAGAAGGTATAGTGTTTCTATAACCTGATCTTAGAAGTGACCTTCGATCACTTTTGCTGTACTCAGTTTATTAGAAGTCGGGCACTAGGTCCAGGCCATGCTCAAAGGGAGGGGATTGCAGAAGGGCATGAATACTGAGACAGGAGACATTGGTACTATTATAGAGGCTGCCTACTGCAATGGCTTGGCCTCTTGGCCTCAGAACCTGGTTCTGCCCCAGCTCCCACCCTCTGATTCTGGAAGCAATTCAATATTTTGGTAATAAATATTCCTTTCTGCTTGCAAGGAAGAAGCCTTAGTGATACAGATAGCTGCCCTAGAAGCCTTTCTCAGGCCCCTGGGCCTTACGCCCTGCTGCTCTTTTTAGTTTACATTTACTGTTTTTGAATATGATTTGGGAAATGCAGGAAAGGAGAATATAAATTTCACTCATAGTACTATTACAAAGAGATAATTACCCTTAACAATTGACCATATTTATTTTTAGACTTTTTTGCTATTTTTTAAAAATCACTGAGATAATATTGTATGTCTAATTCTATAACTTGATTGTCTTACTATCTTAGAAGAATGTTCCCTATGAAAAAGCCCCTGATTTTTAAAGTGTGTGCTTGAGTAAGTCAAGAGTGGCCTGGTCCTGGGGGAGGAGCTCAAGCTGAGCAGGAGTCTCCCTGCCTTGTCTGTGAAAGAGGGGCTTGCTAAATGCAAAGTGGGGCCTTAGTATTAAAGACACATGTAACCTGCTTAGGTGAATAAGCTGCTCTGAGGGACATTAGCATGCTTGTTGTTGTCTTAGTACCTTTGGGCTGCTATAACAAAACCACCTTAGACTGGGCAACTTATCAACAACAGAATTCATTGCTCATGGATCTAGATGCTGGGAAGTCCAAGATTAAGGTGATGGCAGATTTTGGTGTCTGATGAGGGCCTGTTTCTCATAGATAGTACCTACTATTTGTCCTCACATGACAGAAGGGGCAAGGGAGCTTGTTGGAGCCCTCATGACTTAGTTGCTTCCCAAATGCCTCGCCTCTTAATACTGTCATAAAAGGTATTAGCTCTAATACATGAATTTTGGGGGATACCAACATTCACACCACAGCAGTTGTACATAATGGGATGGAGTGGTAGTTGTTGTGATGAGTCATCTATTCTTTTTTTAATTTTTAGTAAAAATAGAGATGGAGTTTTACTGTCTTGCCCAGGCTGTTGTTAAACTCCTAGCCTCAAGCAGTCCTCCTGCCTCGGCCTCCCAGGGTGTTGGGATTATAGGCACTAGGGGCACTAGGCCATCATGCACAGCCAAGTCATCTGTTTTTTGTGGGGGCTTCACTTTGTCACCAGGCTGGAGTGCAGTGGTACAAACATGACTCACTGCAGCCTCAACCTTCTGGACTCCAGTCATCTTCCTGCCTCAGTCTCCCATGTAGCTGGGATCATAGGCACATGCTACCATGCCCAACAAATATTTTTATTTTTTGTAGATACAGAGTCTTATTTTGTGGCCCAGACTGGTCTTGAAATCCTACAGTCAAGCGATCCTCCCATCTCAGGCTCCCAAAGTACTGTGATTACAAGTGTGGGCCACTGGGCCTGGCTCCAGGTTCCAAATCATCTATTCTTGAATAGAAGCTTGGTTTGAGTTTTTTAACTATAGTATCTCTAATTAATTATATTTAATTGAAAGTAATGAGACTTCCTTTTTTTAAAGTCTCTACTTTCCCTTATTTTGCCGCTAATTCACACTATCTGCTTTCTACTCAGTGTAATGATTAGCCAAATATAGCACATTTTATTTTTGTTTTTTACTTTTCAGAAATGATTTTTAATTGTAGTAAAATACATGTGACCTACAATCTACCTAACATCTTAACCATCTTTAAGTGTATATGGTAAACTGTTTTTAAGTGTGTTCAATAGTATTAAATACATTCACATTGTGTGCAACCAATCTCCAAAACTCTTTATCTTGTAAAACTGAAACTATACCTATTCAGCAACAACCCACCTACCTTCAGCCCTTGGCCATTACCATTCTACTTTCTGTCTCTATGAATTCAACTATATGAATTTGATCTAAATGGAATCATGCAATACACTTGCTTTTATGTCTAGCTTATTTCAATTAGCGTAATGCCTTCAAGGTTCATTCATTTTGTAATATGTATAAGAATTTCTTCTTAAAGGCTAAGATTCCACAGTATGTACATATATATTTTGTTTATCCTTTCATCCGTCAATGGATACTTGGGTTACTTCTACTTTTGGCTATTGTGAATTTATTCTCATTTTTAAATGGGATGTTTTGTTCCATTTCAGGGTAAGAAGTTGCCTTATCACCTTGGGGATGATGCAGAGGAAGGGGAAGTTTCCGATGAGGACAGTGCAGATGAAATTGAAGATGAGTGCAAATTCAAGCTCCATTATGTAAGTTGCAAGCATGACCATATTTTTTAATCTTTGATATGCTGTATTAAAATGGAACTCCAAGTGCTGCTGTGTTGGAAGCCTCATAATTATTGTGGCTGTGGTGTAGAAAGGATATTCATTGAAAATTACTTTGTTTGCTGGCACAGAAACAGTTGAGTGTTTGTTGAATGAATGATGAGTCAAGGATTCTTGTGTCTGAGGGTTGGAAGGAATTTTAGTGATTAATTCATACAACCCTCTCTCCAGGGATAAATTTTTTATTACAAATTCAAAAATCAAATTGTGGTTGGAAATGTTACTGTCTTTGATAATAAAAGCTACTTTACTTTAGCATTGCCTTCCCCACCTCATGCTAGCAGCCCCACCATGCTCCCTGTCAAAGCTGACTGGAGGAACCCTATCTGCATGTGTGCCTGCTTCCCTGGGATGCCCATCCCCTCTCTAAGAAAATGTACCTTGAACCAGAGGGATTTCCAGGCCCTTCTAGACATGGAACTCTTGGCTAAATCTTTAATTTGCCAAGTCTTCAATAAAGTGGCATAGAATAGTTACTTGTTTGGTATGTCAGCCCCCTTTTCTAGATGAAGGAGCCTCCTTTGTAGGAAAGCATCATTTAGCTAGGTGATCCAAGGGAAATACAAACCTGAGGGAAATGTAAGACTTAAAAAGATGCCTCACTGTTCCTTTCTATAACTCATGTGACTGCTCAAATCACACAGCAACCTGAGAGTAGCACATGCTCATGATAGTTTGATATAGAATTTTATTTCTACATAAAATGGTTAGTCTTCTAGATATCAGGACTATGATTCTGCCCTCTGGAAAAAAAAAAAAAAACAGAGAAATTTGGTATAAATTCTTGTGATTTACACCATTGCCCTGAATTCAGTTATGACATTGTTAACAACAGTTCACTCTTCCAGGTAATTCTGTGATGCCTTTCTTGTAGTTGTGAAAATGAGCTGGCATTATTTTCAAAGGGGAGAAGAGCTTAATGACAGCTGAAGTCTCAGTAGACACTTCTTTCTTGGCTTTAATGCCCTTTAAATGGGCTAAATGGAGAAGATTCAACTTGAAATGGAAAGGAAAAATTACAATCTGTATTATTCTCTTGCCTTTTAATAGTTTACGTTAGCAAAATTAAATACCATTAATTAATAGGACTATGGTTACAGAAAATCTAAATAGATTTATATGATTGAATACTATGTTATGTAATTATACAGTTAATATTTTAAATGGTTGCTTTCTTCTCTTCTAGGTATTTATTTTTATAATCAATTATTTATGATTATGGTTAATTTAGCTTTGTTTTGTTTTGTTTTGAGATGGAGTTTCACTCTTGTTGCCCTGGCTGGAGTGCAATGGCGTGATCTTGGCTCACTGCAACCTCTGCCTCCTGGGTTCAAGTGATTCTCCTGCCTTAGCCTCCTTGAGTAGCTGGGATTACAGGCATGTGCCACCCAGGTTAATTTTGTATCTTTAGTAGAGATGGAGTTTCTCCATGTTGGTCAGGCTGGTCATGAACTCCTGACCTCCGGTGATCCACCCACTTCAGCCTCCCAAAGTGCTGGGATTACAGGCATGAGCCACCGTGCCCGGCCAATTTAGTGCTTTTTGTTGTTGTTGTTTTTCAGCATTCCTTTATATACCAGATTTTTGTCTCTAATTTTTATCATTTTGCATTTTGTTTTCTAGATCTCTTGGTTGCCAGCCATAATGTAGATCTGTCATTCACTCAGCTACTTCATTTTTCTTCTGTTGCCTGTGAGCCCTCCAACTTCCTACATTCAATATATGTAATTTTGCAAAAAATAGTTAGCTAGAGTCTTATGGGAACAAATAAATAATTTCACCTGTGAAGCATCCAACTGGATTCCTCTTTTCTTTACTAAGAGTAGTTGATTTCTAGAAACTCACATCAGAAGATGGTTTAGAACATGATTCTATGGAGTTAGATAGTATCTTTCATTTAGATTCTTTGGTTAGGCCCTAAGTGAAAGTAGAGCACCTTAACTATAAAGGTTTACAGGTGTCTCTTTGTTATGTTTTGGCAGAGGAAAGAAATAAATCAACATTGGATAAATATTTTGTAGAAGTTTTTGCTTTAGCATTTCAAAGTGGTTTTTGCTATTTTTGAGCTCTTCTGAGAAAAGGCAATGCTGTGTTTAGAAAGCCGAAGTGTTATCTTGTAATCAGACCATTTATAGTCCTGTTGGCAGAGAGCTCAAATGCCTTATCTGAGTGGCGAATTTATAATAAATTGCCTGATAAACGAAATGCCTGATCATATTTCTGCAAAAGAGGGTGTACTTTGGATAGTTTATGTGAACCAATAATTATCTTAGAGGAAGCTCTTAACCTCAGTTTTAAATTGACAGAATGTGGCTAGATTTATAAGTTATATCTGAATTATTGCAATAAGCACAGATTTTCACTTTGTATTTATTTACACTGGAACACCAACTCTCATGAGGTGATATGAAATTTATTTGCACCTTCAATAAGCTTTTATTAAACATTCCTGTTGGACATGTGTTCATCACTGTTGTAGGTATTGGAGAATATATCAGTAACAAAGTAGACAAAAATCCTTGCCTTCATGGAATTTACACATCAATGGGAGAGGAAGAAGATAGACAAGAAACAAGACAAATAAGTAAAATATATGGTGTACTGGACAGTGATCAGTGCTAAGGGAAAAAAGGGTGTGTATGTCTGTGTGTGTGTGTGCACACTTAGCATGTGTGTATGTGAGGGATCTGTTGAAGTTGTAGATAGAATGTCCAAGAAAGACCTCACAGGGAAGATGCATTTGAACAAAGAGCTAAAAGAAATGAAGAGTTAGCCACGCTGATACCTGAGAAGGTATCATAAGCTGGAAGAGGCAAGAAAGGATCCTCCCCTAGAGCTTTCAGAGGGAGTATAGCCCTGCCAACACCTAGATTTCATACTTTTGGCCTTCAGACCTGTGAGAAAATAGGTACATTTCTATTGTTTTAAGATACCAAGTTTGTAACAATTTGTTGTTATAATGGTCACAATAAATTTTATTTTATTTTATTTTATTATTATTTTTTAGAGACAGGGTTTTGCTCTGTGGCCCAGACTGGAGTGAAGTGGCATGATCATAGCTCACTGCAGCCTCAAATTCCTGGGCTCAAGGGATCCTTCCACCTCAGCCTCCCAAGTAGCTAGGACCACAGGTGCATGCCGCCATGCGTAGCTAATTTTTTAACTTTTTGTAGAGACAGGGTCTCACTATATTGCCCAAGCTGATCTCAAACTCCTTGGCTCAAGCGATCCTACTAGTTTGGCCTCCCAAAGTGCTGGGATTATAGACATGAGCCAGGGCACCTGGCCAAGTCACAGGACACTAATATACTCATCTTTTAAGGCTTGGCTCAGGTGTCTTCCACTCCTGGAAGTGTCTCCCAATTCCCGAAGGCTGGACAAGGTGTGCCTCCTCTGTGTGTGTATGCTACCCCTCACACCTGTCACTCTACTTGTTCCTGCTTGTGTAATTATCCAGGGATATGTTGGCCTTCTTCATGACACTGAGGGTTCTGTGACAGTGGAGGGTGTTCCTCTTTAATACTTCTTACCTGACACTGCAGAAGCTCAATACGTGTTTGTTTTATACAAAATGAGTTTTGTTCCCAAACTATCTCTCAACTTTATTAAATCCCCCAGCACATTATCCTAGGCACTTAGTACCTGCAGTGGGCCCAGTGGGCCTGACTTTTCATCTGCAGACATACTTCCTCTTTTAGCACACGCTGCCAGATTAATATTGCTTCTAGAGTTGCTACCCAAGGACTTGTTCACTCAAAGACTCTCTTAGCAGCTCCATACCTCTTGCTTTGAAGTCTCTCCACTCTCCAAAGTACTTTATCTGCTACTACCCTACTCCATGAACTCTAGGAAAACTCATGTGCACTTTGTATTTACAGAACATTCTTAATTCATGTAAATCCTTTGCTAGAACTGTGACTTGCAGGAAAGACCTTCTTTCCATCACTCTTGAAATCTCAATTCCAATGAGAGCCCCAATCAATCCCTACCTCTTTTTAGAGGCCTTCTCAGTCACTCAGGCAGTAATGCCATGTTCCTTATCAGAACCTCTTTTGTACTGGTTATCTTTGCTTTTGTAGGCATCTACGTAGACCAGGGTAGGATATTTGGGGACATGCTTTTTCTAGCACGACAGGAGGGTATTCCCTTCTGATATTACGAGCCAACTCTTTTTTCATCTTTGCATCTCCTTCTGGAGCTGGCGGTCTCCAGGGGAGTGGAGTGCCTCATTAATTGGGCATGTTAAAGATATTCATGCATGTAATAGTGATACAAGGAAATTTAATAACCTATCCTGGTGTAGATTTTAAAAATTGTTCCTTAGGGCATTATAATTGCTTTGTTCTTACAGGATTTTGTGAAAGTGAATGCATTGTTAGAAAGCTACCCATTTTGCAGAGTCCACATATAATGATCTCTTAGAAATAAATTTGCAAATGGAAAACAGCCTTAAACTTTTGGTGAAGAATGTGGGAATCGTTATTGTGAAGGAGTACCCCTTTCCTCACTTTGGGTGGATTTGTCTTCAGCAAGTGGTTGAAGAATTTAGGGAAAGGTATTGGAAACAGGAAGAGGTAGGCATACTGGAAGAGCAGAAGAGCTATGAAAGGAGGCTGGGGCTGTTGGTTTCAAGCAGAAATGTGGCCGAAAAACTGTGCTAAGCAAGACTTTGAGAGAATCTGTATCCCATGATCACCTCAAAATCTATGAGTCATCATCTGGACAGGTCGTAGCTCTGATATCAAAACCCCTTGAAATTAGTTGTGATCTTAAAGTAATTGTAATGACAAATCATGGCTGAGGAGATTATTGAGGTTCCCTTTAACTATACAGTGGGTTTGGAGATAGGAAAGAGATGTATCTCACAATAATCTTTAACTCTGGAAATTTCCATAGCATTCTTTTCCCCTCAGTAAAAAAGTAATTTTATATTAATAGCATATTTTTGTTCAAATTTACTTATGTAGGTTTAGTAAAGTTAGTTTCTAAAAACTTTCCCTGGCCTTTTATCTGTTGAAAGCATCAAATAGCATAAGCATAGTGGGAAGGACTTTGGAGTCCTGAGTTTGAATCCTGATTCAGTTACTTGCTAGCTATATAGCCATGAGCAACTTACTTGATTTCTCTCTAAGCGTCAGATTCTGTATCACTGAGATGGAAATGATAATAATACTTATAAGGTTCCCGAGGATTGAATGCAGTCACATGAAGAATAGCTGGAAGAGAATTAGTTCTTAATAAATAGCAATCTTTATTATTATAGGATTTGTGGAGGAGGGAAGACCGAGATGGAGATGGTACAATGAGCTTAATTTCTTACAAGTAATTGAGAGACAATGAAATTATAGAAGCAACTGTGGTTTGATCAAAGGGTTTATTCTAATTCAATGTGTTTCTTAAGGAAATCATTTGTATTACTTAATTCTTCGCAGAATAATGGGACTACTGAGCATCAGGTGGAATCTTTCATAAGGAAAAAACTGGAGTCACTGTTAAGAGAATCTCAAATTCGAGATAAAGAAGATCCTGATAGTTTCACAGTGAGGGCACTGCTAAAGGCTACGCATGAAGGCTTAAATGCACACCTGAAGCAGGTATATGATTCCTTCTTATACTTATCCTTCAAAAGGAAAAAGAAAGCATCTCTTACTTTGTTTCTAATCATTTGTGAAATGCTTCTCCAACTTCTTTTATTTCTGTCCTCATTTTGCTTGAGAAATGAAACTCTCCTATTGCAAAAAATGATATGAGAAATAGTTAAAAGTGGAATGAGTGGAGGTAGAAATGATTCAAATACTGCTTCACTTGGACCTTCAGGACAAAGCTCAGTGTTACTGGACTCATCTTCCCAATGCATGCTGAGGTTGGGGAAGAAGTTTCAGCCCACCATGTCCTTCACCTTCCCACGTCTCCACATTCATTAGATGTCTGCCTTCCCTGCTACTACCACCTGTCTTTCAGGGCTGAGGGCTCCTCAGGAAGAGGGAAGATCACAAGGGGGTGACCACCCTTGGATCCTAGGTGATCACTTTGCATTGATGGTTGCCCTCTGGACCCTACACAAGGCTAGTCATCCAACTACTGGGCTGTCCCTCAGGTCCATTTAGTTTCTAAACATAGAAATCCTAATTCAAAATGGCTTCAATGATTAGGAAGATGCTGGGTTTGGTAAGTGGCAAAATTTATTTGCAGATTGGCCTTTGGGGTAGGTTTAATCCAGAGGCCCAGTGGTGTCATCATAGACCTATCTTTTTGCTCTACCTATCATGCTATTAGTGTCATCTCAAGTCTGGTTCTCCTGTCCATGATGGTTGTGAGATGACTGCAGCAGGCCCGTGAACTACCTGTTTTTTGTTCCATATCCAGAGAGATTCAGACAACATATTTGCCCCAACTAACAAATGAGAGTTTTGTTAACCTAGTTCATGTGCCTACCCCTAAGCTAATCACAGTGGCTGTGGGTAGGTGTCCTTCCTGAAACAGTACTTGGCCAGAGTATAGAGTAATACTGGCTTGCTAATGCCAGTGAGAACTTACCTCTGAAGCTCTTGTCAAGGTCAGCTCCTCTCAAGCTGCAAGTTAGAGGGGCAGATGGAATACTGGCAACAACCAAAAGGTCAATGACAGCATTATTGACCTTATAGTTAACCATATAATTCTGGATTTTCTTAATAATTTCTATAAATAGTAATAATCTTCTTACCCTCCTCGCCTCCAGCCATCTATTTTCAACACCACAAGTACCTGTAAGATCACAATTGTTTAGCTCGTCTTGATTCTGCTTCTTGTCCTTAGTGAACTCTCATTGGCTTATCTGGGCCAGTCACTTCCCTTATGCATTTGGAGAAGTCTTTGCTCCATCCTAGGTTATGCTAATTGGAAACACAACCATAAGGCTTGGATATTTTGGAAGAAACAAATTAAACCCCTGTATCTTTTGCTATTCATTGAAGAGATTCTAATGACAATTCTCCATCAGGTAAAATGGTAAGAGAACCAAACATTTTAGAGAGCTAGTGTAACAAAAATCATCTTCATTTAACTAATTTTTGAGGTTTTTTAATACTGCTGTGTTTTTAAAATATGGTTTTGGTTCACTGGGCAAGCTAAGGCAAGGTACTGTTGAGACGAGTCCATCTGTGCCAAATACATATGTCGGTTTAAATCCAAAGCTGACAGTGTGCTGAGTGTGGCTCTGGGCACACGCCACTCCAGCTTCTACTTTTCTGGACCATCCATCAGCAGTGCAGGATTGGTTTCTACTTCTGCTGTCTTTTTCCTGCGGAGCCCTGAAGAAAAGTGAAAATGAAATTCGCCTTCAGGCTGGAAGAACTTGGTAGTCAGGAGAAATGGTTCTTGAGAGTTCTTGAATCTGCACCTTTTGTTACATCTGGACCGCTGCTGCCAGGATAACCTTAACAAGTTCCTAAATGGGCTTTTCCAGCTCTCAGCTGCCCTGCCCCACTCCCTTTAATGTCTCATTCACACCACTGCCATAGTGATAGTTCGGAAATGTGCATCTGGTCATGTCATTCTGTTTCCAACACTCTCCTGGCTCCTCAACATCTCAGGGCTCCTCATAGTTTGGCAGATAATGCTCAAATTCAGAGATAATAGCCCATAAGAGCCTTTCTTCCTGTTCTGGTTCCTAGCAGTGACAGCCACAGAGTGTGCATGTGTATAAATCCACACGTGCACGCCTCCACTTTCTTCATTTCCTGTGCCATGCTCTTACCCCATGGCTTTTGTGTTGGCTTTTTTTCTTGGCCATAATACACTTCCTCTTCCCTATTTCACATAGATAACTTCAAATCACCTTTAGGCTTCAGCTTTTATATCATGCCCCCTTGGAAGTTCTTAATTCTCAAGTCCAGGGAGATAGTCTCCCTCTACCACCCCACAGTGCCCTAAGCTCTCCCCATTGTATTCTTGTGACAGTGTGTTGTGATTGATTGCCTCTACTATTAGACTGCAAGCCCAGTAAGTACAGAGTGCATCTCTCCTGTTTGCTCTTCCCTTATGTACCTACCAAGTTCCTAGGACAATGTCTTGTTAATTCAGTGAAAGATGTGCTGATGCTCAAGGAGAGGTCAAAGTTGGAGATAGGTATTTGTAGATATCTATTTCCTACATGAAGAGAGTGAGAATGGAGCAGAAAATGTTGGGGAAGTGGAAGGAAGCCAGAGAGAAGACTTGCAGTGAGGCAGAATCCTGTTTTATCACCAAAAAGCTTTGTAACTTTGGCCGTATAATCTAACTTCACTGTATTTCTGTTTTTCTTTTCCATAAAATTGGGATTTTAATCATGCTTATTTCCAGGGTTGGTTATGCATAGTAAATGAAAATATTTGTAATGCAATTAGCATTATTCTTAGGGTATAGTAGGTGCCTACTAAATAGGGTGACATTTACCTCAATTTGCCAGTGATAGCCGTGCTTTGTACCTGTTGTCCCGGCATAATTATTAAAAGAGTCTCATTTTATTTTTAAAGCGTTCTGTTTTGGACACTAAATGGCATGGCCTCCCTACCAATAGATGGGTTACTAAAAATAGAAAGGAACTCACAGATTAATTGGTCCATTTCACAGATTTAAAAAAAAACAGACCAATAGAAGGGGCTTGCCAAAGGACATGTAGCTAGTTGGTGGCAGAACTGGGTCTTCTAACTTGGAGAGCAGTGCTACATCTGTGACCACATACAGCTACCTTCTTGATCTTGATTCCAGTTTTTGAACATTTAATGAATCCACATTAATAGATCTCCAAAAACAATAAACATACATAAACCAGTCAACAGTTACCAAACATCAATCACCTTGTAAACCCCTCACCATTAATCCTCCAGCATTTCTGAACTGCTCTTTCGCCAACCAATTCTTGGACTCCACTCAACCTTTTCCCACCCCTACTTGCATCTTTGATTAGCATCTATGGGCATATACAGATGCCCTTCCCAGCCTTTTGGTCGTAAGTGTTTTTGCTCACCCACATTTATTCTATTTATGTGGTTACCTCTGTTTCTTCTCTGCTTAGCTGGCGTCCTGGTCAGGTGGGGCCTACTGGTCTCTCCTTGATACCAAGTCGTGAATAATGAATACCTAACATATTTTTAGGGATGACAAATAAATAAGAGCATAAACCCCCTTAGCAGGTGGCTTTTCTGTTCCCTAATGAGACATAGGTTCCAAGAAAGAGAGTTGGCTCAGCATCTCTAACTGGAAAATTAACTCATGAGAGGAAAAATTCAGAGGCTACAATACCTCTTTCCAGTGCCCATGACAGAAGGAATTATTTCAACAGAGAGATAAGCTTTGTTTGGTTTACTTTAAACAAATAAAAACAATCTTATTATCTCATAGATATCCTTGGATTTTATTTATTTATAATGTTTTAAAATTCCACATAGCACTGTTTAGTCAATGTGGTCCACTTTCTTTATTAAACAGAATTGGCTGCTAATGACTTTTGGTCATTTTCCAAAACTGAGTCTTCACTTAACTGAAAATAACTTAACCCCACTCAGAACATTTAAAAGATCACATCCTGTGCTGTAGAGAGCCTGGTGAACAGGTGCCGTGAGGGCCAGCACACCTGCACACTGCTGAGAGCCCTTGACCTCAGCTTTGGGAAGGTACAGGCAGCTGCTGCGTTTTGGCTGGCATCCACCTCTCCATGCCAATATTTCCCCTTCCAAGGCCGGCAGAGCCACCTTTGTGGTAGTGGAATGTGGAGCAGGAGGAAATGAGTGAAGTCTGCTTGTTTCCCACCTGGAGGCAAACAGAAGAGAAGAGAGGGCCCCCTTGCCATTTCACCAGAACTAAGGAAAAAGACAAAAGCAAGGAAGATAAATAGTTACATTATACTTTTATTTACTCAGAGTCCAGATGTAAAGGAAAGTGGAAAGAAATCGCATGGACGATCCCTCATGACCAACTTTGGAAAACATAAGGTATGAGTTAAGAGTGATAAATATGCATAATTCAGTTAATTTAAAGATTCTGACAGGTAACAGGAGAATATCATCATGACCTTGGAATAGCTGAAATGGTTTTTTTTTTTTGAGAGGGAGTCTCACTGTATCGCCAGTGAAGTGCAGTGCCGTGATCTCGGCTCACTGCAACCTCTGCCTCCCAGGTTCAAGCGATTCTCCTGCCTGAGCCTCCCAAATAGCTGGGACTACAGGCGTGTGCTACCACGCCTAGCTAATTTATGTATTTTTAGTAGAGTCAGGGTTTCACCATTTTGGCCAGACTGAACTTGAACTCCTGACCTCATGATCCACCCACCTCAGCCTCCCAAAGTGCTGGGATTACAGACGTGAGCCACCACATGTGACTTGAAGATTTCTTAAACAGGATGTCAGCAAAGAAAAAGACTGATGTTTAAACTACTTTAAAATGTAAGAACATCTACGCATTAACAATATCAAAAAGCAAGTTGCATACTGCAAAAGAATATTTTGAATAGACATATCCAATAAGATATCCAAATACTGTATTTAACATCTTAAATATGCTTATCCAATACATAATGGATATGTGTTATTAAAATTTGTGTGTATTATATATTCTATACTGAATATATAAATAGCTCCTATAAATCAACAAAAGAATAGGCAACCTAATTTCTAAAAGGTGGACAAAAGACTTAAACAGGCACTTCACAAAAGAAGATACCCAAATTACTAATAAAGAAAAGGGATTTACCCTTGTCAGTCATCTGGGAAATACAATTTAAAATGACTGTGTGATTCCATATATACCCACCACAATAGATAACATTAAAAGATGGCAAGAACCAATTGTTAGTGAGAATGAAGAACTTGAACTCTCATACACTGCTTATTTCCTCATTATGGTTGTGCATATTTGTGCAACTACTTTGGCCCACTATTTCACAGTATCTGCTAAAGCTGCACTGTGTATTATGACTTAGCAGTTCTATTGCTAGGGTATATGTCAAAAGACAGAAATAGGCTGGGCACCACGGCTCACACCTTTAATCCCAGCACGTTGGGAGGCCGAGGTGGGTGGATCACCCAAGGTCAGGTTTTCAAAACCAGTCTAGCCAACATGGTGAAACCCCACCTCTACTAAAAATACAAAAACTAGCTGGGTGTGATGGTGGTCACCTGTAATCCCAGCTCCTCAGGAGGCTGAGGCACGAGAACTGCTTGAACCTGGGAGGCAGAGGTTGCAGTGAGTTGAGGTCAAGCCACTGCACTACAGCCTGGGTGACAAGAGTGAAACTCTGTCTAACAACAACAACAACAACAACAAAAAGACAGAAATGACAATATTTATATTGGCATTGGTAAAAGTATAAAGAGTAAATAGTACAAATGTCCATTTTTAATAGAATGAATAAAAATGTCCATTGATAATAGAATGAATAAAAATTGTGGTGTAGTCACATAAGAAAATAATTAAGTATAAAAATGACAAAATTATAACTGTGAAATATGATGACCTTTATAAATATGATGTTGAGCAAAATAAACCAGTCCCAAGAGAGTACATACAGTTTGATTCCATTGATATTAAATTCAAAACCAGGCAAAAAACCCTATAGAGTAGAAATCACAATAGGTATTACCTTCACAGACAAAAGAATGATAGAATTGGAGGATCAGAAGGCTTTGGGGGACAGATAATATTCTGTTTCCTCATGTGTGTGGTTTTTGATTGGTGAAAGACATCAACCTGTACGCCTATGACTGGCGTACTCTTCTAACTGTATGTTACACTTCAATAAAATAGTAAAAAAAAAAAAAAAAAGTTACACTAATCTGGCGTCTATTGGACAGATTAGCTGTTTGACAGTAAAACTTACACAATAAATTTTTATTAGATGATGAACTTTACATTATACATGAGGTTTCTGTAAGGCCATTTCTTCTACTTTAAGGAATGTCATATCTAGAATTTCCTACCCATCAGTGAGATAATTTATTAGTAGACTGGTCAGATTAGTCATTATCACAAAATATTGAAAAAAACCAAAATGTTCACCCCTAAAGACTGTTTAAGTAATCTGAACTGGCACCTCACTGTCAGTGCAATAGAGAGACGTTCAGTGTGCTTAGGCCAACAGTGTAGCTTGTTTGATTTGGAGGGCGGGTGAGGTTGGAGGAACCATGAGAAAATCTAGAAGGTGCCATGGTCCTATGTTAATTCAGGGATGGAGTCCCTTTCTCTTTCTGAGCCACGTTCCCAATGTCCAGGGTACTCTGTCAAAACTTCTTACCTTTGTTTGTATTTTTGGTGGCAAGGTTTTCTGCAACTATTGGGGTGGTCCTTCTGCATCATTTGTATTGTTTATTTATTAATTTAGAGATGGAGTTTCACTTTTGTTGCCCATGCTGGAGTGCAATGATGGGATCTCGGCTCACTACAACCTCCACCTTCTGGGTTCAAGTGATTCTCCTGCCTCAGCCTCCCAAGTAGTTGGGATTATAGGCACCTGCCACCACACTGACTAATTTTTGTATTTTTAGTAGAGATGGGATTTCACCATTTTTTGGCCAGGCTGGTCTTGAATTTGTGACCCCAGCTGATCCACCCGCCTCAGCCTTCCAAAGTGCTGGAATTACAGGCACGAGCCCTCGCGCCTGGCCTTATTTTTTTGAAAAGTTACTGCATATCCTTTTTTAAAAAACCAAATGTGCCTTTTATAATTTATTAATAGTGAGCTTCCTATACAAAAAGGCATTTTGTCCCTTATAATCATTTGAATGGATACTGCAACTTTGACTCTACCCCTAGTAGAAACCTTCAAAATACATGACTAATAAAGTCTTTCTAATACATCAACTTTATGTGTCTTTGAAATCAGCTTCTGAGCATGAAGCTCTTAGTTTTGCATTAATATGTTAACGTAAATATGGCCTTAGGTATGCTTGTTATTAATGGTGAAGCAAACTGCAATATTTGGTCATTTTTTCCCCTCCAAGCTATTATGCTTGTGCACATGTGCATTTTAAAGCCCAGCTCATTCTCTGTATATTGTAGATATACTTGATACAGTGACTTTGTTAAGTTTGTTTTGATTTTTCTGGCAGAAAACTACAAAATCACGGTCTAAATCTTACAGTACTGATGATGAGGAAGACGCACAGCAGAATCCTGGCAAGGAGGGTGGCCAGCTGTACAGGTAAAAAAGCATCTCCATGTTTCCTGCTCACAATCCATCCTTGTCAGCTTAGTCATTTTTCTAGTACATGTCCAGAGAATTGGATCAGAAGAAAAGTACTCTGTGCTGTAGAACATGTGAGGATCAGCTGGATATGAAATAATATATGTAGGGAACTTAGTACTGTTCCTGGCACATAATGAGCTCTTTATAAATGTTAGCTGCAGCAGTTGTCAAGTGAAAGGTATCTTCAGAGAAGAGGGAGGGAGAATCTAAAATCAGCCAGGCGTCAAATTCTTGTTTCTCCACTTACCAACTTTAGCATGGGACAAGTTTGGCTCCTGATTGTATCTGTCCCTTAGAGTCATTGTAAGGATTGAAGGAATTAAACTAATCAGCGCTGTAAGCTCTGGCCCAATTAAATAAGTATTCAAACAACCTTGTTTTTTGTTTGTTTTGTTTTTTTATTGCCCATAGTATTTGTGATGAGTAACATGACCATATTTTCAGAATCCAGATCATGACACATGTTTCATTACAGGAGTTCCTGGCAGTTTGTTTATACCATAATATTGACAAAGAAATGTAAATTATATATATTAGATAGATAAAAATACATACACACACTTTTGCCTTTATTGAAAAATGAAATTAGAAGCATAGAACCCCTGCAGGAATAAAATTTAGTGTTCAATTAAAATTTATATTTGTGCTCCAACAGAATATCTATATATAAAATAGTGACTAGTTAGAAGGGCAGAGGAGATGTATGTGGTCCCTACTATAGGGAACAGAAAATTGAATATGTAGCTACAGTAAGGATAACAAGAAAAAAATAGGATCACCTTCTGGGAGACCTCTGCTGTGACTGCTGTCATTTATAAGTTTGAGAAAGGCTTAACTCTGACACATATATCGAGGGGAAAGGCAGTGTTTGAGGAAAGCTACAATAACCTTAATATGTGCAAAGGAGACATCAGTGCAGGTATCACATGAAATAATTTTGCATGCTGCTTAGTGTCAATTATAGATTTTCCCATAAAAGTTATCAGAACCTGAGCATCTATGATGATGTCCTTTTGGGACTTCAGTAACCTAATGCACCTCCAGGATGAAGATTAAAAAGAGTTAACTTTGTATAGAATTTGTCCCTATCACAGAGTGTCTTCCAGTTTTACTTATAATTTCTAGGCATGACTTCACACTGATTTATAATCATTAGCCTTCACAAAATCAGATTTTCACCAGTGGCTGTAGAATTTCTTAATTATATGGTAAAGAAGGAGCATGCATTCTTTTTTCTATTGATTTTTACCACAGTAAAGTTCTCAGCAGACCATCACATTGCCTTCACATGCACACTTTTCTCCTATAGGGTAACATCTAGCTATCAAAAACAAACCTCACAAAAGAAGACATACAAATGGCCAATAAACACATGAAAAGGTGCTCAACATTGTTAGTCATTAGGGAAATATAAATCAAAACTACAATGAAGTACCTCTTCACACCCATTAGGATACTTATAACCCAAAATACCTCTTCACACCCACTAGGATACTCATAACCAAAAAGGCAGACAATAATACATGTTAATTCTGTTCCCTAGAGTAGAGACCACATACATCTGCCCTTCCTAATTAGTTATCATTTTATGTATAGATATTCTATTGGAGCTCAAATATAAAGTTTAATTGAGCACTAAAGTTTAGGTTTGTTTTTGGTAGTTATGTTTGGAGAAAAGTACGTATGTGAGGGGAATATGATGGTCTGTGGAGGAATTGACTGTGATAGAGAGTGGTGGCACAATTTGTAAGGTTGCAGATCAGATCCTAGGAGTGGTTTGTAGGAAATATCTAAGATAAAAACAGCACTAAATAAAGCAATGAATGTTTGCTTTAAAAAAGGTGGAGAATATAGAAAAAGTATAAAGAAGAAAGTAGGTCAGATGCAGTGGCTCATGCCTGTAATCCCAGCACTTTGGGAGACTGAGGTGGGTGGATCACGAGGTCAGGAGATAGAGACCATCCTGCCATCGTGGTGAAAGTGCGTCTCTACTAAAATACAAGAAAATTAGCCAGGTGTGGTGGCATGCACTGTAGTCCCAACTACTTGGGAGGCTGGGGCAGGGAAATCTCTTGAACCCAGGAGGCGGAGGTTGCAGTGAGCTGAGATCACACCACTCACTGCACTCCAGCCTGGCAACAGGCTCTGTCTCAAAAAACAAAACAAAACAAAACAAAACAAAAAACCTCATGGCCGGTCATGGTGGCTCACATCTGCAATCCTAGCACTTTGGGAGGCCGAGGTCGGGAGTTCAAGACCATCCTGGCCAACATGGTGAAACCCCATCCTGTCTCTACTAAAAATACAAACAATTAACCAGTATGGTGTGGTGGCATGCACCTGTAGTCCCAGCTACTCAGGAGGCTGAGACAGGAGAATTGCTTAAACCTGGGAGGCAGAGGTTGCAGTGAACCAAGATTGTGCCACTGCACTCCAGCTTGGGTGACAGAACAAGATTCCATCTCAAAAACAAAAATACAAAAAATAAGCCAGGTATGGTGGCGCATGCCTGTTATTCTAGCTACTCAGGAGCCTGAGGCAGGAGAATCACTTGAACCAGGGAGGTGGAGGTTGCAGTGAACTGAGATTGCCCCACTGCACTCCAGCCTGGGCAACAGAGCAAGACTCTGTCTCAAAGAAAAAATCTCATGAATTGTTTATTTCTGAAAATTTTCACTTAATATTTTTGAGCCATGGTTAATATTTTTAGACAGGTGTGTACCACCACACCCGGCTATGTGGGCAAATGAAACCCTGGAAAGGGAAACTGAGGATAAGGCGGGGGGTGGGGAGGGGCTACTGTAGTAGGATTTTGTGGTGGAAAGAGTACTGAACCAGGAATCACACTTGGTTCTAATCCTGGCTCCCTTCAGACCTGGGACAGATACTTCCTATTAAATCATTGTCTTAAATAAGGAAAGTGGGATAACCAAGAACCCAAACCTCTTTCAACTCACAAGTGTCATGCATCCTATGTGTGTACTTCACAGACTGGGTCGCCGAAGGAAAACCATGAAGCTCTGCCGAGAACTCTCTGATTTGGTTGTGTACACAAACTCCGTGGCCGCCCAGGACATTGTGGATGATGGTAAGGACTGGGAGTTTTCTCCTTCTGCTCTGGATAAATATTCTTGACCTTTATTTTTCAGTTGTTAATGAACTTTTGTTAATCTGATTATCAATACACATTTTTGGGACTATGTAGAAACCAATTTGAGTGTCAGGAAATTCACTGCTGCTATAGTGTTGAGTTCATATGGAGGGTTCTACTGATTTCTATGGTTGCCTGATTGACTAGAGGCCAGAGAAGTTTCCCACAGGGCCCAGGAGGACTTGATTACTATAAAAAGAAATTCACCAGGGCAAGATCTTTCTGCAACACTTGAACTGTGAAGAGCAGGCCTGGTTTCAGGACCAGGTCACAGATGGCCATTCCAAATGTGAAAGACCAAAAAAAGGAAGCAATTGATTGGCTAAAACCACACCTTGGAAAGCCCTGTATTTTCTCAGTGAAAGTTTTGACTTGGGTGAAAATAGCTTAATCCAGATTGAAGTTTTAACAAAAAGAGCAGAAATCTCAGCAGCATTGTCTCCACTGTTTTTCACCTATCAGTTGCCACACAGAGCTGAGAAATTCCAGTCACGTCTATTTGTACCCTTGGCTCTCTTGCTAGTTACTCTTGTCTTCTTTATCTTCTGTTTCATTTAGTTACTGAATGCTTGCAGAAATAACCTATTGTCATGTGGCTTTTCATCTAATTTTAATTTTAGTGGAACTGAAATGTAAATCAATCTCCAAATTTCTCAACAAGTTTTAGTGAAAGGAAAACAGCATTGTGGTGAGTCTTATGTCCTCACAAACCTCCAGGATTCTTCTCTCTTATCTCCTCTACCCAACCCCCACTCCACAAATGTATCTTTTGCTATTTGCAGAAAGATTTCTTCCTTTAGCCTTGATTCCTTCTTCAAATGGTAACAATTATATAAGATTTAAATGAATTTCACAAGTGAGAGCATGAGAAACTGTAGGATTCTCAGCAAGTGAGCAACACACTCTTATAATAATTGCCCTTAGCTCAAAAATAAACTCAGGGAATGATTGCATTAAGTTAAAGGTATATTTGGTTTAGGGAACAAAAATTTCCAATAAATGCCTTGGAAAACATAATCCTACTAACTTAATGAAAATTAATCTTGAGTACATTTTAGCTCTTGAACTTAAGCTGTTTTTATCTTTTTTATTTTTTTGCCAGCCCCAAAATGAAAACTAGATAATGAATGCATGGTTTATCCTAATGTGATACAACTCAACTCTATTAATGTACTAATTGATATGTGCCTAATTAGCAAGGTCATATTAATGATACTGCGATGTGCATATTTATGTGGAGAGACAGAAAAAAACAGTAGTATTGATTATAGCCCTATTCCATCTGAATTAGGCTTGTCAAAAAGATATTTTCTCCTATAATGTTTAAAACATCTCTCATCAAAATCTGCAAATAAGTTCAATATTAGTATGTTGAGATATGTAAACTATGTTAAGAGGTTATATCAATTAAAAATATGAACATGTATCTTTAAGGAAAGAGTCTAAACTAGAAGCATCATCACATTAAAAACTGTAACCCTCTCATTTCTTTGCCACAACTTGTATTCCTGACTGTTCTAAATCTGGAGTATCATTTTCAGTTGGGAAGCATCTAACATCTAAGGGTGTCCAACCCTAAGGACCGCAGGGGCCCTGGGAAACTGTGTGTGTTAATAAACATGCACAGTCTAGATATGACTCAGGCCCAGCTGGCTCAGCAAAGCCATATATGGTTCAACTCCTTGGTTTCATGGACCATATCTCACCATCTGGGCTCAGACACACTCAGCTTATTAGGGTTGAATAAAAATGAGACTCTTGGTCAGTTTGGGTCTTTTTATCTGGGCTGGTCTTTTCCAGCATATTCAGAGGACATATCGGTGGTCATTTTGGGGATAGGGTAGGGGGGGATTGGTGAAAAAGTGGGAATAGTGGGGGCTGTGTAGATAGGGTACAAAAGGTATGATTGAAGACAAGCGGAATATTAAATGTTTGGAGTTTTACTCCGTTATGACCCCCAGATTTGCAGCTTCTGTGAGTCCAGATGGACTCCTCCTGATGATTGTCCTGGAAGAGACTTTCGTACAGGCTTCATGTACTTTTACCTCCCTTTACTTTTTTCCATAGTTTATATGCATGGCTAGGTGAATGACTGTCCTTGTTCTTAAAACTTTTATTCCTTTATAATGCTTTTGACCTCTTTTTCTCTATTATTATTCCTTTCCCCAAACAGGTTTTGACTTGTTCCATAATTCTATTCAAATCAACTTTAAAAGTCAACTTTTAATTTTTGTAATTGTTCTTTTTTCTTTGTTTTTTTGGATCCTGATTGTTACTATTAAAACATGTTTTACATGCATGCCTTTTAGAAGAATGCCTTCAATGAATGTCTTCCTGTTATCAGGAATAAGCTATTTAGATAGTTGTATTATTCCATGGTTGTCTATATCTTTGGCAAAGATATTCTTTTTAAGTTATTTTTTTCTACCTTAATGCTAGCCAGATAGACATCAATTAGTGGGATGATTAAATTCTTAGGAAGAACAGGGGACCCAGAAATAGACAGCTACTTGAGCAAGACACACAGCTCTAATTTGGCCTGAAAATGGCAGAAGAACCCTAAGAATGGAATTTTATGCGTCTTTCTTGTTGAGGAGCTGCCTCTACTCTGGTTGAATCCACTCTAGTGCTCTGCTTTTTGTTATTGGTATAATCTGACGTTATTATAAAGTCTTTTGTGAGTGGTGTTTTTTTTGCTGTAGTTCTCACTTTTCTTTTTTCTCTATTAAAAACTGCCAGGAACCACAGGAAATGTGTTATCATTCAGTGAAACAAGAGCACATCAGGTAGTTCAGCAAAAATCAGAGCAGTTCATGATTTATAACCAAAAGCAACTCACAAGGATTTACCCCTCTGCCTACCGAATTGATTCCAGTAACTTCAACCCTCTCCCCTACTGGAACGCAGGCTGCCAGCTAGGTGTGTATTCCTTGGGAAGGAGTGGCTCTCTGTGTATCCTAACTATCCTGCCATCTTGCCTAATTCTCTGCAACTTTCAACTTGCACAGTGGCATTGAATTATCAATCTGAAGGACGAATGATGCAGCTAAACCGAGCCAAATTCAAGACAAATGGCAATTGTGGTTATGTCCTCAAACCCCAGCAAATGTGCAAAGGTGTGTATTAATTTCATAGTCATAAATGCAGGTGTGTATTAATTTCATAGTCTAAATGCAGGCAACCTTTATTAAAGAAGCTGTTTAGAAAGTGTGATACCCCAGAGTTTTTCAACATATTTTTTCAAAAAGATAGATTAAACTGTTTGACTGTAAATTAGAATTCTTGTCACAATGACTTAATATTTGGTTAGCCATGATGTGTAGAATGTTATGTTGAGAGGTTTTGTGTGAAAGAGGGACATGGATAGCATTGGGTTATCATTTGAAATCCAGTGCCCCATATAAGCTGGACTGCTTTTTAAGGTCTGAGCCCTATTTTTTAGAAACTATCTTAAGTAATGTGAGTTTGTGACTTGCTGGCAAGCTTCAATTCCACATGAGACAATTTTATCAAGCTCTTTTATTCAGTGTAGTCCAATTACAAAACAGTGCTAACAAAAGAGAAAGGATAGGCTGGGCACGATGGCTGACCCCTGTAATTCTAGCACTTTAGGAGGTTGAGGTGGGAGGATCACCTAAGGTTAGGACCAGCCTGTCAGGAGTTCGAGACCAGCCTGTCCAACATGGTAAAACCCCATTTCTACTAAAAATACATAATTAGCTGGGCATAGTGGTGCATGCCTGTAGTCCTAGCTACTTGGGAGGTTGAAGCAGGAGAATTGCTGGAACCTGGGAGGCAGAGGTTACAGTGAGTCGAGATCACACCATTGTGCTCCAGCCTGGGTTATAGAGTGAGACTCCATCTCAATAAATAAATAATTGTTAGATGAAACAACACTTTCTTTTGGTTCTGCTCATTAAAATGATTTTTTTAAATTTCCAAATTGCATTTATAACAATTCAGATAAAATAGTTGTTGATAGGATTAGCCTCAAGATTTTATACTTTGCATGTTTTCTGGCTCTGCTGTTTACTTAATTTCAGATCTTTTTGTTTGCTATATTCACTCATACCTGAGATAGTTTAGGTTAGAAAATTATTTGAAGCTGATATAATTGTTCTTTTTATGCTGCTGGTGTTCAAACAAAATGCTTCTCTTCCTCCATTTCACAATTGATCATTGCATTGGAGCACTTGCTTTAAGTTGGCCCAGTCCACTAGCCTTTGGAAACATAGATTCTAATGAAAGCCACAGTTATGCTACACTGATAGTTATGTGAGAATTTCTTTGCTCTAAGAAAGTTGTAATTCAGCAATTGTTTTTTCTTTGTTTATAGCTTAAGCTATACATGCATGTGTGTTTCTTTTTATGTTACCAACTTATACTTTACTTGGCCTAGGTACTTTCAACCCTTTCTCTGGTGATCCTCTTCCTGCCAACCCTAAAAAGCAGCTCATCCTAAAAGTTATCAGTGGACAGCAACTCCCCAAACCTCCAGACTCCATGTTTGGAGATCGAGGCGAGGTAAGTTGCCTATGACGTGTCTAAGTGGTTAATTATGTGATTATCTTAGTGCCTTCACATTTTATCCAAAATGTCTTCAGAGCCATATGTGTGTTAATAACTGAGCACTGACCTCAGCTTATCAGACATCAGTCGATTTATTGGTAAGTCACACAGTTCTTGCTGTACTGCAGTCCATTGTCTATTTTGAAGGCATGAGTACACACATTTGAATTCACAATTTAAGATTGACACTGGCATTGCTAAAATTGGAGTGCAAAGGACAATTTCATTATTATTATTATTTTTATTATTATTTTTTTTTTTGAGATGGAGTCTTGCTCTGTCACCAAGCTGGAGTGCAGTGGCACAATCTCAGATCACTGCAACCTCAGACTCCCTGATTCAAGCTATTCTCCTGCCTCAGCCTCCCAAGTAGCTGGGATTACAGACGCCTGCCACTGTGCCCAGCTAATTTTTGTATTTTTAGTAGAGACAGGGTTTCACCATGTTGGCCAGGATGGTCTTGATCTCCTGACCTCGTGATCTGCCCACCTCAGCCTCCCAAAGTGCTGGAATTACAGGCATGAGCCACCGCACCTGGTCGACAATTTCATTATTAATGGAACATTGCCTAAGAGTATATCTTAACCTCCATCCACACTCCTCTCCTCCTGCAATGCTTCTCCCTGCTGCACATCAGCCACCTACCTGCTCCTCAGCTGTGTGCTGATTCTTATTATTATCTGCTGTACCTGTGTAGCATTTTAAAAGGTATTATCTGTGGCCACAGTCTCTTTTCTTTCCAGAGCTTTTAGCCCATTGTTTCCATTATCCCTTCTTGGCCCCTGTTTTCTCCCTACATAACAGCTTTTGCTGTGCTCGTGCCCTTCCTTCTGGAGCTGATCCATTACTTCAGGCTCTTTGTCACTCCTGCCTGTTAAACTATTGTTTTTTGATCTTAAGGAAGGAAACCACAGAGCTCTGCAATTTGGTACCATCATAAATACTTTATTTCAGAACTCTACTTTCTTTTTTTTTTATTATTATACTTTAAGTTCTGGGGTACATGTGCAGAACGTGCAGGTTTGTTACATAGGTATGCACATGCCATGGTGATTTGCTACATCTGTCACCCCATCATCTACAATAGATATTTCTCCTAATGCTGTCCCTCCCCTAGACTTCCAACCCCCAACAGGCCCATGTGTGATGTTCCCCTCCCTGTGTTCATGTGTTCTCATTGTTCAACTCCCACTTATGAGTGAGAACATGCGGTGTTTGGTTTTATGTTCTTGTGTTAGTTTGTTGAGAATGATGGTTTCCAGCTTCATCCATGTCCCTGCAAAAGACATGAACTCATCCTTTTTTATGGCTGCATAGTATTCCATGGTGTATATGTGCCACATTTTCTTTTTTTTTTTTTTTTCTCTTTTTTTTTTCCCCCATTTATTTATTTTATTGCATTTTAGGTTTTGGGGTACATGTGAA